ATGCATCTACATGCTCATTGAGTCATGATGGGCCAAACCTTTTGTTTGTTTTCCTGTAGAACAGCCATTAGAGAAATCAGACCTTTTGAGGGCCCAAGCTTGTCTTCAGGGTATGGAAGCAGCCAGCCGTTTTGTATCCAAGTTTGCAGTTCTCGGTTGTATTTAGCCCGAAGGTATTCAGGAGTGGGATATTCTGACAGCCTGTTTTTTAATGTAACTGGCGGCTGGGGACCGAACCACTTCCACGGTGCAATCCATATCCGTCTGTTAGCATCAAACTCTGCTTGGAAAACGGGCTCATTGACGGTGATTGCAGTGCAGATTGGCTTGTGTTATTAGGGAAATTTTACCTCACCGATGCTAGACATGGACATCCCACTCAGTTGTTTGATTGTGTCCAGCCCAAGCAACAAGTCAAATCAGAGTAATTCCTCATCCATGACCAGAGCTTCTATGTGAATAGAGGGTCTGTTGCTTATGCCAAGCCGGACCACCCTGACTCCACAGCACCTAAGGGTATTCCCGCCAACAGTCAGGATGTGTACCTCCTTTCTCTCCCATACCTGGCAGTATACTTTGCATATGAGTGTTTGGGTGCAACCAGTGTCCACAAGAGCCATGCACCTCATTCCATTGATCTGTACAGTCATTGTAGATAGCGCTCTATTTAAAGAGGATATGGGGATAAGGCTGGTGCCGAAGCCTTGTCCACCCGCCCGTTTTCCCAGACAGTTTTGGGCCATATGTCCTTGCCGCTTACACCATAGCACAAGACTTGTCTTTGGGGTTCAGTATTCTCTTTCTTTGATGTTTCACATCATGAGAGACAGTCGCATGCCAAGCTAGCACTTGTGAAATGTCCATATCATCTAACTGGGAAGAGGTTCGGAGCAATTCCTAGGCATGCTCCGGCAACCTGGCAATAAACGCACACATCAGACTTCTATCCGTCATTCCAGAACTGAAAGTTTACGTAATTCGGCAAAAAAGACAGGCGCAAGTGGCATGCTACAAATTGCTTCCAAGCTGTAACGGAGTCCAGAGCAAATGCCGTATACAAAGCATTTTTGATGTGTGTAAAGTCTTTCTTCTTTTCTTCACTCAGCTGCTAGTACACTGCATATCCACCACCTAGGAACCACACATTCAATACGCTTTACGCCACTAAGCTGGCATATCAATTCTGCCTTCTCTATCCACTCAATAACTGACTGTCCAGAATCACTTCCATCAAATAGTGGTATCAGTTTAGGATCAAAATCCATAATTGCCAAAATAGCCCGTAGCCGTCACACCAAAAAGGACCCACTGGAACAGAGCAGTCGTCTCATACAGGGCAGTCATCTCTCGTTGTCCTCGTCGGCTCCCTCGACTCCGACTGCCAAAGCCTTCAGACACACTCATTTTATAGACCATGACGAGGCAGCCAATTGGTTGAGTGGGAGAGATTTACATATGCACAGATGCAATCAACCAATTCTACCTTCCTCCAACTGCTCTGCAACACCATACACATGCAATGCATAGGTGTTTTCAGGCATGATGTTGTGTATCTTGCTCACGACAATCACAGTGTATTTGAATAGTTTTAAAACATTTAAGTGTAGAAACAGAAAGTGATTGTCAAGACACAAAATGGGAGTTTCAATATCTATACAAAAATGAAAACTATAAATAGAAGAAACAATTGGCTTACAAAGGAAATGAAATCCTATAAAAGTGATAAAAAGGCAAATGATATGAACTTTTCAAGGTAAATTGTCAATAAAGATAATCATTAGATAAAAAGTGATAAGTGACAAGAATGCTGATGGCTCATCCAGTGATGAATAAAATAAACACCATTGTTAATGATAATTCTTTAATTTTTCAATCAAAAAGTCTCAGCAATGTCAGAGATTAATTTCATATTAAAGAATAGTTCAAGATGTTAAAATAAAAGATCTGCAGCAGGTGCCCTTTTGTAACCTTTCCTCTAAGGCTTTAACTGAACTTAATTCACAGCAGCAATCAACAAAGGAAGAAGAACGCAGCTTTTAAAGAGGAATGGGGACGTGTGAAAAAGTCACGTGGACAGTAAAGATAGTTTCCTATTTGACGTGGACAGTAAAGATAGTTTCCTATTTTCTTTTCTTTTTCTTTTCTTTTATTTTCTTTACGAAAATATAACATTCTCCCCCACTTGCAAAAGAGATCGTAATTGAATAGGTTTTATAAATCCAGTCGTTGGATTGGTCTACGAATCCTGCTAGACCGGCGTAGAGGTAGTTCACCACTGGAAGAGCCAGACCTCTGAGAAGGCTGACTTTCAGGATTCTGGCTATTATTCACAGATTCATTTTCTGTGGAAGGTGAAGAAATATTAACGGGACCTGCATCAGGCAAAAGGGTTGAATCTGCGTGGTCCACGTCGGGTTGAGTATTTTCAGGTCCATTTTGAGGTCCATCCGGGCGTGGAAAACGTGCCAACCGTCTCAGCGCCACCGAATCTTCCCGGCCATCATTGTGACGTATTTTGGCATGCGTAGGATTGGCCTCAAGGAGTTCCACCACCTCAACGATAGGGTCATATTTACTTCTGCCATCGAATCGTTTTAATAATACCTTCCCAGGCTCACAGAGCCAAACAGGCAACGCAGTACCGGTGGAGGACCGCCTTTCAAAATTGAACATTCGTTCGTGGGGGGTTGCATTCATAGTGGTACATAGCAGGGAGCGGATAGCATTTAACACATCATGTAGAACATCCTGCCAAGCACTAATTGGTAACTGTTTCGATTCCAGGGCCAATAATATGGTATTCCAAATTATGCCGTTGTAACGTTCGCATTGGCTATTGCCTCTAGGGTTATAAGCAGTAGTATTACTGAATCCAATTCCAAGTCGTGTTAGAAATTGTTTAAATTCTCCTGACATAAACGAAGTTCCTCGATCGGAGTGAATGAACGAGGGAAGCCCGAAAATGGAGAAAATACTTGTCAGGCACTGAATAGCAGTTTGCGAAGAGCAATCGCGGCAAGGAAAGGCAAAGGGAAATCGACTATATTCGTCGATGACAGTAAGTATATATCGGTAACCTGTCGGGGATACCGGGACAGGCCCTTTGTAGTCTATGGAGAGACGCTGAAATGGCGCAGTAGAACGGATCAGAACATTACTAGTAGAATCGAAGAATTGGGGTTTTATTTTGGCACAGGTCGTACATTCAGAAGTCACACGTCGGACTTCATCAAGCGAATACGGCATATTCTGAGACCTTACAAAATGCCAAAAGCGCTGTAACCCAGGATGTATTAAGGAATCATGTATCGATTTAAGTTCCTTCAAGGAAGAAGCAGCAGCACCACATACTCTGGATAAGGTATCCGCAACTGTGTTTTCATTTCCAGGACGGTGTTTTATGTCGTATGAAAAGGGAAGAAGTTCCATTTTCCACCTTATAATTTTATCGTTTTTAATTTTTCCGCGATTAGCAGGTTTAAACATAAAAGATACGGCTTGTTGATCAGTAATAATAGTAAAATGTTTACCGGCAAGGAGGTCTCTCCATTTACGAACGCATTCGACTATAGCATATGCTTCTTTTTCGACTATGTGAAGTCGTATTTCAGAGGGGTTTAGCGACCGAGAAAAGAATGCTACAGGTCGCTCAGCTTGTAAAAGAGTGCCTCCAATAGCCTTTTCTGAGGCATCGGTTTCAATAGTAAATGGCAATTCATCATCAATAACTTTTACAGATGACTCGGCAATGTCTTTCTTAAGTTTTTCGAAAGAATTTATAACTATAGGAGGCATAGGGAATTGTTTATTTTCGACCAGTGGACGAATTTTGTGTGAATATTTAGGTATCCATTTCGCATAGTAAGCAAACATACCAAGACACCTTTTTAACGAATTTGAGTCGGGAGGAGGAGGCATTTGTAAAAGTGGCTTCAAACGCTCAGGATCGGGTTGGATAGTTCCGTTACAAATTTGATATCCAAGCACGTTAATAGAACGAAGTGAAAACTCTGATTTTCCCGGTTTATTTCGAGGTTGTATGTCGAGGCAGCCTTTAAGAAACATTCCAAATTGACATCGTGCTCCTCCTGGGTTTTACCACAAACAGTTATATCATCTATATACGAAAAGGTTCCAGATAATTTGTTATCAGAAATGAAAGAATACATAAATCGATGAAAGGCAGAAACCCCGTTATTAACACCCATGGGTATTCGTTTAAATTGGTACAGATGGTTTCCAGCTTGAAAAGCCTTATAGGGACGATCTTCAGGGCAAATTTCAATCTGATAGTACGTTTTGGACAAGTCAATTATACTATAGATACGATACTGGGCTATTTGGTTTACGAGATCTTCAATTCGAGGCAAGGGGTAGGCATCAAGTAAGGTGAACCGATTAATAGTCTGGGAGAAATCGACCAATCATTTCTTTTTATTAGGTGACGAAGTTACGACAATTTGAACACGCCACGGAGAGTAACTTGTTTCAATTATATCATCCTTAAGCAGTTGTAGAATTTCTTTTTCAATGAACCGACTATCCTCCGCACGGTAATTTCGGGATTTAGTAGCAATAGGTTTGCAATCAGGGGTCAAGTTTCGGAACAACTTAACAGGAGCACAACTGATCTTGGTTAGAGCGCAGATTTTTAGAATATCCTGAGATCCACCAAAAGAAATAGTGATACTCTGGTGTAGTTTTAAGAAGGGCACTCGTATAATATCCATACAGGAATCAGGAAGTACTGTAAAGTCAATTTGTTTATATTCGTAACCATTGAAGATAATGTCCTCAGTACAATATTCAGATAGTTTGAAGGAAATGGCAGATGAAGCCATGGAAATTACGGAATTCCGTTTAGAAGTAGACAGTTTCATTGTTTTAACAATACGGGCACTGATAAAGTTATCAGAACTACCGGTGTCTATGAGGGCAGTTAATCTCTTTCCTTTTAATTCTAAAGTTTTAGTAACTGGAGGAGACCTATCATCGTCTTTTTAGCACGGGCTACTATAATAGCTGAAGTAGAACGTGAAGGTGCCGCATGGTAGAACGGCAAACTTTAGAAAATGACCAAGTTTGCCACAGTTTCGACATATCTTATCACGGGCAGGACAATAGCGACGATTATCCTTAAAGTGACGTTTTCCTCCACAGTTGTAGCACTTGCCACGAGCAAAGGCAGCAGACAATTGTACAGAGTCACACTCCGTACGAGAATCAGTTAAGTCTGAAAGCATATTTTTAGTAATAGTAGTGGAAGTGGCCTCCTCGGCAGAATCAGTAAACACATTTTTAGTCCTAGTGGTAGTAGCAGCAGTTGATCCAATCTGAGAAGTGTATGACTCAGCACGAAAGTGAGCCTGTTCTAAGGCTCTAGCACATTGAGTAGCCTCCTTGAGAGTTAGCGTATCATTTTCAAGCAGTCTGGCACGTATTACGAGGGACCGGAGACCACGTATAAATGCATCACGGACAGATTCATCCCTGTAAGTAGTAGCAGTAACATCTTGGAAGCAACAGTCAGCAGCAAGTCGATTCAAGGCCTGAAGGTATTGGTCTACAGACTCATTTTCCTGCTGCAGACGTGTAGACAACAAATGTCTAGCGTGAATAATACTTGGAGACTTGTCATAAACACTTCTCAGCAATTCAACAGCATGTTCAAATCCAGAACAACCCTCGATAACATCAGCAACGGTAGCACCGATATTTAAATAAAGGACTTCGAGTTTGTCAGGGTTTAACGAAGCAATAGTTGATAAGTAATAATTAAAATTACGGTACCATAGTCTCCAGAGCTTGCTAGCCTGAGGGTCTGCAGAAGATATATCAAACTTGTCCAGACGAATAATCTTGTCCATGAGGAATTAAGTTCAGTAAATTGTTACGTTGCTCAGAGAAGAAAGCTAGTAACCTTTCACTAAGGCTTTACTGAACTTAATTCACAGCAGCAATCAACAAAGGAAGAAGAACGCAGCTTTTAAAGAGGAATGGGGACGTGTGAAAAAGTCACGTGGACAGTAAAGATAGTTTCCTATTTGACGTGGACAGTAAAGATAGTTTCCTATTTTCTTTTTTTTTTTTTCTTTTATTTTATTTCCCTTTAAAATAATAAAATTTCCCTATTAAAATAATAAAATTTGAAAAACTTTCTGTTGACTAAATGAAAACTTTTTCCATATAAATTTGCACTCTTTATACATTCTTAACAATGACGATTTGTTATGATTATTTTATTCAGAGATAAAACCTGCTATATTCCACCCAATGTTCACAAAGACATTCCTAGGCTGGAACGTCGATTGAGAAATTGACATAAGTTTTCATTCAGAATTCACAAATTCTTCTAACAAAGAATAAAATAATTTTATTGTAGACTTTTGTCATTACTGCTGCTGCTGATGATAACAATGATTATGTTCTTGACAAATAAATTTAACTTTTCCTACATCCAAACAGGCTATTATTCACCTCCAAAAATGTAAATAACTTCTAAAAAATCTAATAGAAACATCTTTACAAAAATAAAAGAGATGAATTACATGACTAACAAAAGGTAAAGAATGCAATGGCTAAAATGCTAAGATAAAAAAAAAGCAATAAAGATGAGAATGTAAATTCACATATCTTGTACGATAATTACAATTTTTCTCGTTAGAATTTAATTAAAAAACAAAAAGAGCTGTAACTTACATATTCCCTAAATTTCTAGTTTATTAAAATGAAGGAACCATTTAATTAACACTAACTTACACTTGATTTCTTTACAATAAATAGGAGTTTGATTGCTTAATGAACTGAAAACAGAAAAGTCAATGCAATGAGATTTTTTTCTCGATTAAGAAATATACAGAAAGTAAACAGGCTCTTTCTATTAATTTAATTGGTGATACAAAAGTGAAAGAAGTAATAAAGCTTGGGAAAACAAGAGATAATGTGGAGACATTAGGAAAAAAATAAAAGATGTTTTCTTACCTGGCTACAATAAATAGGTTGTTTAAAGTGTTTTGTCATTCCTTGATAGTGGTCATAGTGAAAATGAGTGAGGAAATAAGCTCTGCATCCAGGGATCAAACCATATTTAAAGGCATCAACTGTAATGGCAGTATCTAAGGAAGGAAAATTTTTGTTAGCTTTATACTTATTTAGGATTAAAGAAAAATGTTTGCAATTTTTTGCTATTCAGTTGAAAGGAAAGTTCTCATGGTTTCTTAATAAATTGACTGTTCCCTTTAATGTTCTAGGATTTGGTGCTGCATGAGTATAAATAGTGTGCATGCACACACATTCACTAGTATTATTCTGTTTATCAAGTGCATCTCCCATGGCTTCTCAATTACCTCTATCTTCAAATGCTGACACAACAGTCAAACGAACAACACAAGATTGGTTCAAATGTTTTCATGAAGGTAACACCAGCCCTGAAGGTTGACCACAGCAATCAGTGATGGATGATGAGTCTCTGTAGTGGATTGTTGAAAGTGATCCACATCAAATTTTACAAGAGCTTGCAGCAGACCTGGAGGTATCCCACTTCACTCTTATTGAGCACCTGCAAGTCATTGACAAAGTCAGCAAGTTGGAACAATAGGTACCCACCAAATGACCAACTTTAGCTGTCACCAACTTGCACTCCAACCATTGCACATGACTCTATTGTGACTGAAAATGAGAAGTGCTGCCGAAGACCATGGATCAATGTAAGCGATTTGGGCTTGCAAAGGAAATATTTGTCACAGATTACTTTCACAACACAGAGAATAAATCACTAAGTTCAGACTCAAACATTGGGACAGAAAGAAATGCCGAAAACTCGATTTGCAGGTACTATCTCACAAATCACAATGCACACAACCAGTCAGAAAAATAACTCACTCTCCGACAAACACAGTAGCCAAAATACCCAAATTTGTCCTCCTCGATTCAAGAACACCAACTGCTTTTATTGGCCAAGCATTTTTTTTCATTCATCAACAACTGGGAGAGGACCCCAATTTTTACATATCAAAATACTTTTATAAAGACTCCTGCAACAGACTTGTTTTTGATTTAAATATTCCATCTTCAGCATGTCATGCGGAATACGTGCCCTTTTTTTTTTAATTTACTTTTTCGCCACATTTTCCATCGTAGGATACATGCGACATGCTGTTGCAAGGTAAGTCGCCGTTTTCTTTGCTATAATCAACACAGGCAGTGAGCTATCAATTCAACTGAAATACCCAATGTATTTGTGGAAGATGATGGCCAACATCTGGTGGAATAGCTTGGACATGATCTATTGGAGCTGTTCCTTGCCAACACCATTATTACAGCAGTCATATGCTGAACCAGGAATGATTACTTAATGACAATGCTTGTCTGAATATTTCAAGTTAGACAGAAACAACTGGAGCTGGGATGGTAAGTTCTGCCACACTTGCTATATATCCCAGACCTTGCCCTGTCCAACTCATCAATTTGCCTCCATGAGCAACACAATAAACTGGAACTGTGGTCAACAGAATTCTTTGCCTCAAAGTCAGAATTTATTCTCTACCAGGTCACTGACTGAGATGGTGATTATAACATTGACTGAATATATTCTCTGTTTGTTTTTTTAAATAGAGAATATTTGTGGAATTAAATAAAACAAAAGCAACATTCAAATTTGGATGGTATAATTTATTTTTAACTAAATATATTTAAATAATATATAATATAATATAATTTAATTTAAATAATATAATATATAAAATTTAATTTAAATAATATATTATTTTTAATCAATGTAAGTCCAGAGACTTACATTGATTAAAAAAATATGATCTTGAACATTGTTAATTGTGGAGAAATTCAGACTTCTTTGTTAAATCCTTAAAACTAAAAACTGTGGTCATAAGAAAGTCATGAGTGATTCAATACAAATGCCAGTATATGCAAGGTATTCAGGACAGGAAAAAAAATGATAATTAACATAATTATTTCAAATAATTAATTTAAGAGAATGACAATAAAAAAGGAGACCACTTTGAAAATGTTCGATAATACTACTAAATTTTTAAATTTTCATTAGATGAAGCATTGTCAACAAGTTTTTACTAACATTTTGTTTCATTTTATTTTTTAGTTACTTTTTATGGCAACTTCACTCAACCTGTTTACTAGACTATCCTGAAGCAAAAGAAAGTTCTGATCTCACCGAGAACTTATCCTTTATTTCTGATTTCTGTCTACTCACTACAACCTTGAAGAATGAATCTTACTTTATTTTCCCATCCATACAGCCAGATTGATATGCCTGGCATCATTGGTCGAACGCAACCAACAAGCATCTTCAATGATGTTTCATTTGCTTCTAATGCCACTCCCATGGCCAAAGAACTTGCATCCACCCTGCTAACCTTCATCTCATTGCTATCCATACACCAGTCTCCCCCCCAACAGGGTCTATTTCACATATTCTGATCATTGTTTTAGATGCAGCACTCAAAGCCATCAATCTAGCTATTCAGTGGCAGACCACAGTGTTGCATTTGGTCACTGATTCAGCATGCATGCATGCATCGGTGGATATCTGACACCCTAAGAAGGAAGGCACATGTGAAAACAAAGGCAGCTGGTGAAATGCTAATGAGACGGCATTTGGGACACTGCAGGTATTGGCAGAAGAGTGTGGATTGATCATAGATGTAACACTAGTGAAATCTTGTCAAAACCACACAGATTGTCTCATCAGAGTGCCACAAAGGTAGTTGGATCTACAAAACGAGGGAGGAGAACTGGTACCGGAGAGTTGCGGCGCAATGGAGAGCCAACTAAATGACATCCATCACCGAAGTGGACATTCGGGTGTGAAACAGACATTATATCTTGCTAGATCTATCAACTCTCTGGTGTCTAAGGAAATCGGTTGTCAAAGCCTGCCAGTCAATAGATCCAGCACCAGTTCACTGGAAGAAAGGTAATCTGAGTGTGGAAAACAGCTGGAGCAGATTAGCAATGGATATAACCCACTATAATGGCTTGCATTTTCTAGCACTCATTGATTGTGGTCCCTCCAGATTTGCAATGTAGCAGCCATTGTGTTGGCAAGATGCAACTAATGTCATTCACCTGTTGGAAACAATCCTCTTTGAACAAGGCCCGCCAAATGAAATATTAACTGACAACAATACTGCCTTTGCTTGCAGGCACTTCAAGGAGTTTGCAAGCAGATGGGGCATGCATTTGCGGTTCGGGCATTCACATTTAACAGCTGGAAAGGTAATTGTGGAGCGCAACTACAAAAGTATTAAGACCATTGTGGCCAGAAAAAATGTTCCGTGTTAGAGGCGGGTTATTGGTATAATGTCACACCAAAAGATGACATCTTGCTTTCCATGGCACCAGCAGAGGCATTGAAGCGAACTCCTACCTGAACCACAGATGACTGGAGGGGGATATGAAGAAGGAGACGTTGTCTGGGTTAAGACTCCATGCAGCAAATGCACAACTAAGTTTGGAGCCAGGAGCATAACCAAAGTTGCCAGCCTGCAGTTGGTGCAGATTCATGGGATACCTCACCATGTCGAAGACCTGCATCCATTTTCAAGGTCATATCCATCGTCGAGTGACGAAAGTGACACAAAAGAGAGTTTATTTATTTGGGGTCGGTTCCACCAAATGATGGCTCCAACATCAGCAGTCTACCAGCGTACAACCACACAATCAAACTCCAGATGACAGTCCACCTGAGGACAAAGACTGTGTTGTTCCACTTTGAAGGAGCCCCCGCCAGAAGAAACCTGTCCCTGGATGCACTATTTGTGATGATGAGATCAGGAGGGAATGTGGTGGTGTAGTGAAAGAGATAGTCAGGTACCCCGGAAAAAAGTTCGTGTTTTGTGTGCGATCTGCCGAAGAAACATTACCAAAAAAGTAGTCAGCAACCTTGCCAAAGCAAGAGAAGGCGAATTGTTGGTACATGTGCTTGTAGATGTCATAGACCTGTGAGGCAAACTCTGGCAAATCAATATTGAAGTGACACAGCGCATGCATTATCAGCGAAAACAAGGCTAACACAAGCGAGAGATCTCGGTTTCTTGCCTGAGATGAAGGAAGGCTAAAAAGAGCTAACTTTTTGTTTCAGGGAAGTTTTGTTCTTTGAGACTGGTGAAAGTTATACCCATGTTCCAGAGAAAGAGCAATAATACTGTTGCTTACGGTGTGCAGGAAACAGAGTCCTGAGCGAAGCGTGGTTCCAGTTTCCATGTTAGCTGTCAGTGGAAACAGATTTGAGTGGACATATATTTTTACCAGTTTTGATCCAATGAGAGGTGTTATTTGTTATGGCTTTCACCAGTTTATGGGGACTGCTAACACTATCTGATATCATGAGGCATATCAGAATGCCTACTTTGTAGGTTTTAGGGAAACCATAAAGTTTGGGTATTCTAGGGTGGTAATCTATTATTTTATACCATAATTTGTTTTCATTACTAACTAATTTACCTACGCTTAACATAAAATTTGTTACATCTACAGTTTTGCTTCTATTTTCGCATTCATAAATTTACCAATTCAGTTATTCCCGATGGACATATAATTTTCCATGATTAAAGGGAAGCTACTCCCACTAACTAAAGCAAAAATCGCAAAATTCATTAAACGCATTCTTATGATTAACCATCCTTTCTTTTGTATACAGGCAAGAAAAAAATACTCTTAGGAATAAATCACGTGTACTTCATTGCAGAAACATTTTCACTTCAATATTTTTACACACATCTCATGTAAAAATACATTGAAGAACGAATATTCTTAAAACAAATATAGCAAGTGGAACTTGAATTTTCTATTCATGCTTTGAAAAAACAACTTTTGCACTAAAAAAAAATAAATAATTATAAAATAACTGCCATGTGTCCAAAGAGTAATGCTCTTTCTGCAATTTGGAGTGATGCTAAGAAGCCATAAAGAGAAAACAGTGAGTTGTTGAATATGCTTCATAGCATGCGGTTGGTTGTTTTGGCAGGTCATCATTATGACATCAACAAATCAACTGTGTGCAATTTTAAGAAAAAAGAATAGAAAAAAAACAATTTTGGGGGATAAAATGGGCTCAATATTGTTTCCCTAAAAGTAAACTATTAATTTTGAGTAAAACAAGAACCATAAAGTGATTTTAAAAAATCAAACTTACCTGGTATCTTCTTATAAAATGGACAGGAAGATGATTGCTGACTTTTGTCTAGTTCAACTGACTGGGTTATTGTCACAATTGGAGGTTGTAAATTACAGGCAGATTTTGTTAGGGGCTTTTTGGAAGGTGTTTTTTTGGTGAACATCATTTTAAATTGCTCGAGATCCATCACAGGTTTTACATTTTTCTCAGTTTCTGATAAAGGTCTTGAAACAATAGATTTAACATTACTTTCAATAGTTTTATTAGATTCTACATTTTGAACAGTTGACAATTGATTATCAGGTGTTTTTTGCATGAAAAATGATGTCAATTGCATTTGATTTATTGAAACTGACCTAGAACTGTTAGTCTTTAAAGAGGATCTTTTCCTTGTATTAATATTTTGGAGGCTTAACTTATGAAAGTTCACTTTTGAAGGAGTTGAATGTTTTCCTGATTTTAATGCAGGAAATAATTGATTAGATTTTAAAGAGGAAATATTAGGATCTTCATTTTTTAATTCAGAAGTATATTTAGATGGTTTTTCTGATTGTGAAGCTTCCATTGTGCCTAACATGATTAATTCATCATCACTTGAAGAATACTCAGAATTCAATACATTACTACAAACAATTTGTGAAGGAGTCCTGTATGTGTCAGGTGTGAAACAATGAGCTTTTTCGGCAAAATCTTCAACTTGCAGATTTAAAGAAGCAGATATATTGTTGGAACTGGGAAAAGAAATATGTAAATTACTTGCTGGTTCAGTATCTGATGAACCGTTTTCTGAGTCTAAAAAATTGTCAATTAATTTTGTATCTGTTTTATTTTTTTTCAGGTCAATGTCATCATCTGAATCTGATGACAAAAACAAAGCAGCGACATGACTTTTGTCACTCTTTCTTTTACCCAAAGATTTACTTTCAGAATAAGTAGATGACTTTTGATTCTTGGATGGCATAATCATTGGAGTTGGTAACATTTCAGAATAAACAGATTCTGAATGTTCCTTATCTAAAGCAAAAGGAGAATGAGATTTGTTTCTTTGAAGACTAAAACAACTTTGACTGCTCTGAGAGCAGGAATCATCCTTATTAAGTGCTGAGAGTAAATTAGAATTGCTTCCTGGAGGGTTTGGTTTCCGAACAGACAAGGTCTCCCACATAGAACATATTTGTTTTTTTGGTGTGTGGACAGGAGATGACAATGTTTCTGATGCTTGTGGAGTGGACTTATTTGGAGTCAAAACCAATTCCTTCTTATTAAAATCATACATCAAAGTCTGTTGACTCAAGTCTTTAAACAGTGGAGATTTATTAGCAATTTTTTTAATTGGAGTACATTTTGCAGGTGACCTAGCAGTATTTTTTTTAGATGTTTTGAATGAATCAGATGAAAATAATCTTTTAAAAGCAGCAATATCAGTCTTTTTATCATCACCTTCAATTTGAAGAGGTGATTCGTTACTGCTACATGTCACAGATGTAGTTTCTCTTTTAACAGGTGTATTTTGTAATATTGGTAAAGAATCAACATTTCCTGTATTATTTCTTTCTTTGAATTCCTCTCTCATGGAAAGTTTTATCTCACCTGCAAACAAAATAAAAACTTTAAAACATAGGGAATCTGAGTTAAATCAACAGAAGTTAACGATTATTATTTATATTCCTTTAATTATTTAGACTAGCATCTTCACAGTATTATTTTCATCACTACATTTAAGCCTATGCATTCTCTGGTTTTCCTATAAGATTAAAGATTGAAGAGTAACAAAAGACCTAATCTAAAATAAAAGGCATAGAAAATCACATATGAGAGAAGAAGAGAGTGCATTATTCTCTATGGAATTAAAATAACACATACAAAAGCATTGTAGAAAATGCACAAAGTAAATGAGGCAGTACATGTGGCTTATCAACAAATAGTTAAAACAGAGTACGCAGATAAATGCCATACGAGATGAGGATTGAGGAGAAAAGGACATGATTGAAGGAAACAATTATTCATTAAAATGAATTTAAATGTTTCTCATGAAGAGAAACTATACAAAAATGGCATTTCCAAGTCAAATATTTTTCAGATTCACTTGAAGCTCAAATTTTGTTGATCAATTCACTAATTTGTTCCAATTGTACATTATTCCCTAAATAAAACTGTTACTTGGTCTGAAGAAATTCCTACTTAGAATACACACTTAACCATCTTTTCATGCATTTGTGTACACATATGTATGTGAGTGTACACATTCCATCACCTGTTACTTTATTAAGTATATTCTTCTTGTACTAGATTGAACTCCCTTTTTGCCTTTCAAACCACCTCAATCTTTCTCTGGATTCTACGATGTTCTGAAAGCAGTCTTTCAAAATTTGGGTCCATGCTGTTATTATGGCATGCCACAATTCTTCTAGATTGGTGGCTGATAAATCCAGTATTTAAATTTCCTTTTCCACCACATCTCAAAAGGGCTCTATGGATTGAGATCCAGTCATTTTAACACAGAAACTCATTGTCATATGAACTATCTATGACTAATTTTTGATTTGTGACATGGTGCATTGTCCTGAGTGAAGTGGCTACCAGTGGATGGATGCATCATATAGTCATAAATTGAGGCATGTGGTCAGCCACAATGCCTAGGTAGGTTGCGGCATTTAAGCAATCTTTTATTTGTACCAAGAAAATATTCGCCATACCATTACACTACCACCAACAATAACCTGAACTGTTGATACAAGGTAAAATCCAAACTTTCATGTCATTTATGCCAAATTCTAGCCCTGCTATTTGAAGGTCACAACAGAAATTGACACTCATCAAACCAGGCATTTTTCCAATCTTCTATTTTCCAATTTTTGTGATCCTTAGCAAATAGTGGCACCTGAAATGGTCTTCTGCTGATGTAGCCCATCTACTTCAAGGTTCAACATGTTTAGCATTCAGAAAAGTTCTTCTGTGTACCTCTGTTCTAAATATAAAGTGATTATTTGAACAACTGTTGCCTTTCCATCAGTTCAAACCAGTTTGACCATTCTCCACTGACATCTTCAATCAGCAAGTGATTTCCGCACATACAATTGCTGCTCACAAGATTTTTTTTCTTTTTCTGACCATCCTCTACAACCCTGGAGATGAGTGTGTGTGAAAATCCTATTAAGTCATCAGTTTTTAAAATACTCAGACTCACCCATCTGTTATCAATGAGCATGCCATGTTCAAAGTCAATTAAATCGCATTCCTTTCCCATATTAATGCATGAAATGAAATCCACTTGATCCCCATGCTTATATCCCTTAAATTGCTGTTATGTCATTGGCTGATTAGAAATTTACATAAAAGTGCATTTGCTCACATATACTTAATTAAGTAGATTGTGAGTGTATATCTACACACATACATTGATGACAAAATGCAATAGGCTTATGAAAAAAGCCAGAGAACACATTCGTCAAAATATAGTAAAAATGATGAAAGATAAAGAAACTATGCCAATTAAATCATGAAATAATAATGTTTTATTTTAGAATTTTCAACATGTGCAAATTCAATAAAATCTAAAATTCCAATTGAAATCAGAACAGACTTGATTTTTTCTTTAAATATAATCTTCCAAAGTAAATCTTGTTTTTACTTCTTGATTTGAACAAAATTAATAATTGGTTTTACTATACTAATTATTTGTTCATTCCAATCATGTTAGGGAATGACTGCAAAAACATCATCTCCCCAAATTTATAGACAACACACAAATGCATCCTGGGATTTTTTCCTAGGCAATAAGATAGGCCACTTCTCAGTTTCATCAGGCTTAGTTCTGTTCTTTCTTGTCTTGAAGACAGAATGCTTTGATTGCTTGTCTGTATCCCACTTTTGTGAACCTTTTGCCTTACTGCCATTGTTTTGTATTGTTTACTCAATATTATTGCTTGTCTTGTTCTTTTCTTTTTTTTTTCTCTTCTTATCGTTTATTGCAAACTTTTTCAATTCTGTTCGTTGGGCATGTCTGCCAATTATATTTAACCATAGTCAATTACTCCTAGTTTTTTATAATAAAGACTTACCACTTTGTGATGATGTTTTTTCAGAATTTGGAGACATGTTCACTCTTAGTTGTGCTAATGAAGAATGTTGGAAGTTTTTGTAATGTTCTTCTTCCTGAACTGCACAATTTAATCCATGGGAACATTCTGAAAAAAAAAAATTAAATTAGACAAAGATAAGATAAAACTCCCTTCGGGACATAGTTGATCAAGGCTCTCAATAGATTCATTCCTCTTCTTTAATATCTGTGAATTTCTTGGGAAAGATACTACAGTGGTTTCACTAAGAGTTTAAAAAGTCATTTAGTAAATTGAAGGATTATGTGGATTTTGTATAAGTAATGTTTACTTTTTACTTAAAACTTAATGAAAATAACATTTATTTATGTATGGTAGCCTATGGGCTCAGAAGTCAAAAATAAAAAATGTATAATCACACACCTGACTTAAAAAGCACACAAAAAAGCAAAAAATAAAAATTAAAGAAATATGGAACACCAGCAGTGCAATAGTCAAGATATTCCTATTTATATTTAAAAATAAATTATCTGTAACCATAACCAATTGTTTAAGAATATAATTTTTTTATTCTATATGATTTTATGAAACTTAGTAGAATTAATAATTTTATTTTTTTTATATTACATTAGAAGTAATTTTTTATTTTAGTTAAATGATACTTTTGAGCTTGAAACATTATTTTTGTACGTGCTTGATGTCATAAAATTGCACCAAATGTGTTTTTTTTAAATTATTCTGAATATAAGAGTTATCGAATTATCATGTCATATTACTCTTTCTGATGGGGAAAAATAATCAACGAATGTAGCAAGGTAATTCAGAATTATTTCCTTCTTGAACATCCATACAATTGCTAAAACTAAAAAATAAATAAAATTCTTTTAAAAAGTTTTACACTCAAAAATGGCATTAAAATTTACATTTTACGATTCTTCAATCATGCCTTTATTTAATTAAAAAAATTCTTAAGAATAACAAAAGAATAATTTTAAAAATTCCAAGTAATTTAAAAAAAAACTGTCAGAAAAATTTAATTTTGAGTTTTATTGAATTATTTTCAGTAAGATTAGAGACAAATTTTCCATATGTTCACATTTGATATCGCATAATTTTTTTACTGAAATAACATCTTCAATGAGTTTTCTTTATATAACATTAAAAAGATTTGATGAATACCCACCAAATTAAAAAGTACATGAGATATGAAAAAGGTAGGGCAGTGAAACAAACCCCACAATAAGTATTTCCACAAGGTTTTCTAATAAAATAATCTATCTATAATTCTCAAAATGTGTATGTGATCGAACATTGTTTATGCGTTTCCACAGTTTTTATCCGATTTCAATGAAATTTTTTGTTTGATAGATAATTCTTCAGTGCTGGTTTTGAGTCCAAATTGTTGGCGACAACAGCTTTCCACTACTTCCTGTCCATTATAATTCTCGGCAACGTTTTACTATTTACTATCTGTTCTTGGATATATATCTTTCATAAAAACTTTAATAGTTTAATATTTAATATAGTTTAAATTAATATTTTCTATATCTATAATTCTCAAAATGTGTGTGCATGTGTGTGTGATCAAATGTTCTTTATGTGTTTCCACAGTTTTCTTCCAATTTCGATGAAATTTTTTTTTGTTTGATAGATAATTCTTCAGCCCCAATTTTGAGTCCAAATTGACTGGAAAAAATTACAACCTTGAAGGTGAAAAATCAAAAAAACTGATTTTTTACACTTTGCACAAAAATCAAAGGCAAAATTTAATTTACTTCACATAATGTTCCAATCCTAGCTCATGCTGTGGGCATGATTCACACCTCCACACATTGCCCATCGATGACCTTGATAATTAGTGCGTGCAGCAACGCATGTACATGTGGCCTTGCAACATGCACTGTGTCACGCAATGTGTCACACACTGATGCACATGCATACGCATGAGCTACAGAATAATGGGACACCAGTTCAAGTTGTCCATTGGCTGCACGAAGCACCTTTACACATCCAATCAAATGTCACCATGTCATACTGATTGTCTACAGTCCTAAGCTCACTGCTACCACTTAATTCCGCAATTCTGCCTCTACTTCTGTACCTCCAGCCCTGCTTACAAATTCTGATTCTCTTGGCCAAGCATTCAATCTCTTTCAAGTGAGGTTACCTTTTCTGTTGCATAAAGCCTACTACTACAGTTTTAAGATATTGCCTTCATTGTTGCTTATAGCTGTTCCCAATTTAGATTTTTTTTTATTGTCCTGCCATTTTTTGCATTGCATTCATTGTAATAAGTAAGCTTGCTTTTTTATTACTCAACATTTATTTTTCCAACCTTTCCTTAAGTTATTCGAGCTTAGCGATTCCTGTAGCTTTTCAGCGTTCTCTTCTGGTATTTGCCCATGCATTCCATTTGACAATTCATACTAAGATATGCCACCAAAGAAAAGAACTTGCCTAGGTCACAAAACCACTGCCACCAGGTCCACCATGCGAATAAGAACTAACAAATCATCTTTATATCATTCAGTTCACCTGTCTCAAAATGCCTCTCAGAATGCTTCAATCAGAGCCACTGAGTCTGAAGATCTACACAGCTTTCCAGAAGAGCATACCTGAATGCTTCTGTATGCAAAGCTGAAAATGATGATCAAAGGACCCAATGGCTGAGGAGAAATGCATCTTCAACTACTGCTGCACATGAGGCTTGAACAAAATTGAGAATGCAAAAACAGCCCTTTTCATGGCCACACCCCCATTCAAATTGTTAACTTCCAATTTGAGGGTGTGCCTCAGTTGCACCTAATTGTTGTTACTAACATTGATTTTCAGGTGGGCTGAAACTTAAACTGCTCCAAGTGAACAGCAAAAATTCCCAGTAATGAAAGACCTGATCGAAGATGGGTTATACTGTTAGTTCAGTATACAATTCATTCATTAATGAATACCTACTGAAAATTCTATTTGAATTGAATAATTCCATGATATAAATATTTTAAAACAGGTTTTTTTCTTTCCTTTTGAAAAAAAGGCATTCCATTTTAGTGGTACCTAATATTACCATTACCATTTTGTGCTTCGGGAATGGCAGGAGGAAACTACTGTTGTTGACCAATGAACTCTCAGCCTAGTGTGTGCAAATAAACATTATTTTCATGAAGCACATAGTCTTAAGCAAAAAGGAAACATTACTTTTAAAAAATCCAGTTAATTAATCCTTAAATTTACTAATTTAGTTTGTGAAAAAGATCTCTAGAACAAACACTGGATTTTTAAGAGACTTCTTATAAATTGTTTACACTTTTCATCTAAAATTGTGGTTTGTGGATTGATAATCGAACATGAGAATGTTTTTTAAAATATCTAAAAACTTTATTTACATATAGAAATTAATTTTTATTTTCATATAGAGCTTTAGGCTCTTATCTTTCAAATAAAACCAAAATTTTACTTAAAAAGAGGCATTTTAATTATTTTGCATATTTTTAACATTTTTTAGCTCAAATTTTGGTGGTATCTAATATAATCCATAACTGAAAGAAGGTGATGGCTTTTCCAAAGACATTAACACAAAGTTTGTGAAACAGAATTGACCAGAAATTGAACACAGCTTGCCACTTTCACTTCTGTTCATACAATTTTATTCTTTTCATCATCTGTAATTTATCCTCACAATAGAAATACTTTAATCAAGAAAATATTCAATATTTCCTTTTCAATTAAAAAAAAAAAAACAAAAAAACACTAAATTTTTCCACCCTAATAATCATTCAATAAAAATAATAAAATCTTTTAAACAAGGATACTTTATGGGACATTTCATAGAATTCATTAAGTTTTTTTAATGTTTACTGGAAATTACAACTGTCATGGGAGACCAGAATGCCAAAGTAGGCAAGGAGAGATGGTGAAATAGTTGGCAAATTTGAACTAGGAACTCAATGAGCACAGAGAAAAATGAGTCCAATGGTGTACAATGAATGATCAAGTAGTAGCCAACACCTAGTTTCAAGAACACCCAAGATATGTATGGACATGGAGAAACACAGGAGGAGAAATGAAAAACCAGATTAACTATATAACTATCAATAAGAGATTCAGGAATGCATTTTTACATTGCTAAACATCCCCAAGTGTCAACTGCAGGGGTGATCAACTTCTAGTAATATGTAAACTTAGAGTGAAACTATGGAAATTGAAGAGGGCCACAGCAGCACCTAAATTGCAATATAATAGGATCTTGAATGACCCAGAATTGAAGGAGAAATATATTGACAGTGTGAAAAGCAAATACAATGGACAAAATGAGAATGGGAATTCTAAGTGGGATAAATTAAGAGAAGTTTTAGTAATATCAACAATCAAAATCATCCCAAAGAAAAATAGAAAGAGGAAAAAATTCTAGACATTATGAAAAGAAGATAAAAAAAAGACAGGTCCCTGATATGAGAGAAAGAAAAACTACTTCAGAGATGGAACGAATACATCAGAGAACTCTTCCACAATGAAAGAGAACCAGAAATACACAGAAATATTGAAGGACTAGAAATACTAAAATCTGAAGTGGAATCAGCACCTGCCAAGCTGAACAGAAACAAAGCGACAGAACCAGGCAGAATTGTAATAAAGATGTTGGAAGCCTTAGATGATTTCAGCATAGACAAGATTACAGACATAATAAATGAAATCTACAACAGTGGTGATATACCAAAAGACTTAAGTAGATGTATTTTCATAGCACTGACTAAAAAGTCAGGTGCAAACAAATGAGCCATATTACAAAACTTATCATCTGAATTCTGATGAATAGAGCATGCAGCAGAATCAAACCCAAAACAAGTACAGTGTGAATTCATTAAAGACACTGGAACAAGGAATGCAATATCTGTGCTCAGAATGATATCAAAAAGATTAATACAAATGTAGAAGATTGTGTATCTGTGTTTTATAGATTATGCAAAAGTACTGTTGAACTGCTAGTGTAAGAGTTCTTGGATACCAAAGGAAAATAGTTGTCGCAGATTACTTCCACAATGAAGAGAACAAATCACTTTAAGCTCAGACTCGAAGATCGGGGCAGAAAGAAATGTTGAAATCTCAATTTGCAGGTACTATGTCACAAATCACAA